CAACTACGGCAACGTCCAATTCGGACGGCAAGTGGCCGGAATTTCAAATTGAAATCCGGCCAAAACCTAGGTTTCCAATTCGATTCCAAACTTCAAATTCGATCTAATCCTAACCCAAAATCAGCTAGAGCACAAGAAATGGAGAAGAAACCTCACATGGTTCACCGGGATTGGACGGCGGAGACGACGGCGCAACGCCGTGAAAATTCCGACTTGAACCAGTCGATAACACGGCCGGGTTTCGCGTTTTTGGGTTTTCCGAAGGGGAAATGAGGTGGGTTGTGATCGGGGCTTCGAGACGAATCAAATGGGACCGGTGCCGGCCCTTCCCGTTGCCGGAGCTGAGAGAATCGAAGAGAGAGAAAGAGAGAGTCGGGGAGAGAGAAACGGGAGAGAGAGAGAGAGAGTGTACGCGGGAGGGAGAGAGAGAGAGTGAGGGGTAAATGTGAAAAATCTGATTTTTACCCCAAACTTACTTCGAAATAATTACGGTTCTGCCACCGAACAAGTTTTGATCGCCAAAACTTCGTTAAATCTCCGATTCAGGCCTACCACCTGTCTATGGTTTCGTCTCAGTACCACCTACGCAACCACACCACTCACGGTCCCAAAATCTTCCCGGATAAGAAAGTGACCAAAATCACCCTTAACCCAGGAGTAATTTAATATTTTCCCCTAATTAAATTAAAATAGGAAAATAAACGGAGTCGGGGTGTTACACCCCACTTCAAAGTCACGTACATGAAACTGTTTCTGCTTTCAATATATTAATATTTCCTTGTAAAAAATATCAATATTAATTCATTTGGGCCTAAACCAATTTAGCAACAAGTCCACAGAATCATTTTTAGCTATGGGCCCGACTTCTTTAAACTTGGGCCAATATTTAATTTGCTGTCAATGAATTTTTTTTATTTCAACACATTGTGTTCATCTATTTTGTTAGTCCTAACTAGATGCCTTAATGAGTTTCAATTTGCCTGATAATTAAGTCTAATGGGCAGTGTTATATGAACGTCCATGATGTTTTAAAATTGGTTCTCATAGTACGTATGTAGTATGGTATAGTGAGAGTCTTATCTAAGGCCCCTAGATGAGGTCCTATCTCGTAATTGTTGAATCAAATTAACCATTTTCATCCAACGACTAACCAATCACCCGCAAGGCCTTAGATAAAGAACTGACTATGGAATTCTTGTGGTAATGTGGAGCAGAGTCTGGGTTTTATTTTTATTCTGGGTAATAACCATATTCATTAGTCCACCATATTTTTATTCTGGGTAATAACCATATTCATTAGTCCACCATATTTTTATTCTGGGTAATAACCATATTCATTAGTCCACCATATTTTTATTCTGGGTAATAACCATATTCATTAGTCCACCACCACAAACACTAAGGTATAGCTAAGGTATATATCCTTCAAAGGTTCTACCTCTCCATATTTAATTTGCAAGTTTAGAGAAGCCAATTTTTGCTCCAGATGTTTCTTTCAAAATTGAGAAGAGAGAGATCACAAGAGTCAAACTAATTGGTTGTTCTAATCAATGGCATAACAGAAAACTTTTATAGGGATGGGCTATTATTTCTTATACCGGTAAAGATTTAAATAAAATTTTACTCATTTTCCCAAACTTGAAACTTGAAATCTCTGAGGTATAGCTAGTTGGAGATTTGCTTGGATATGATATGCTAATTTTTGCTTAGATAGCCTGGGCTAATTTTTGTAAAATGTGTAGTACTAATTAATTTCTTTTTTCCCAAACTTCGTACTAGGCTGGAGCCCAACCTAAGCCATAGTGTAGTTCCGCCCTTGGTTCTAATTCCCAAATGTGTTTAATTGCAACATATAATGCAAATTTTGTAAAGTTAGTTAAAAAAAGTCAAATCCCTATAAACCAATTTAGGAAAGAGTTATAATCAAACTCTTGTTACAAGTTGCAATCTTCTACGCAATATCTTTGAACCATGTAACATAGTTTTGGAATTAATTTTCTTCCTTTTTATTTCTTTATTAAGTAAAGATACATAAGTTCCTTTGGTAAATATAATCAAAGATGTACATACTTAATCCCAAGCTATCAATCAAATCCTTGGTCACAATGCTAGCTAGCTATAGCTATTCCTCCCTAGTATGGAAGAGTTGGGATACTTTGTTCATTCCTAAAGAAATTCTTTGGATCGACCTTGGTCTTAACATGCACCAACCGATCAAAATTATCCTTGAAGTACTTGATACCATAAACTCTTCCTTCCAAATAGCTTGCCTTGCCATTGGCATCATGGTTGATCCCAATGTCAAGATCTTTATAGTTGAAAAAGGCTTCCCTTGGATTCTTGGAAACAAAAGGAGTCATATACATGTGGAGCTTCCGTGTCAAATCAATATAGTATTCAGATGCCTCACTCCCTTCTGTGTCCCAGTTTGTTGCATACTGAACCTTCCAAAGATTCCCAGCTCTATGAGGAAACGGAGTTGCAGATGCTGAAATCTCACCCATTCTTCCACCATAGGGGTTAAAGGTCAACATTGGAGCCTCAAGTTCTATCATTTTCTGAAAAATCCATTTCAAGCCAGCTTTCGGAATTGGTTTCTTGACATAGTCTGATTTCCTCTTCAAGTGGGTAAGTACTTGAGGAATTCTAGAAAGCAAAGCTTCAGGAGCTGTCCCATTTGGGAAGCTTGTCCAGAAAAGGGTAGATTCAACCCAGCTCATTTCCATGCAATCAGATTGCTTAAGTCCCAATTCAGGGAAGCTCTTGTTCATCACAGAGAGAA